CCCAGAGCAGCAGCAGCAGTCACAAGACCTTAGATAGGGGCTCACTTTGCCTCTAGGTGGTGCAGTCATGATTGCCAGGGAGCCGGGCCTGGAGAGAGAGTTGGCAACCTATCTATCTCTCCATAGAAATGGTAGCGTCCTAGAAACAGGTATGGTTACAATGCTAAATGAAGCCCTAGATTAATGATTTTTAAACATTTAGCAGAGGAACCTTTTTTCCCCCAAATGAAATCTCACATAAAACATCAACACTTAAACACACAAAAACATTGTTGATTATGATGAAGCTCTCCCTTCTCCCAAACACACACATACAACAGACACACACACACACACACACACACGCATGCATGCAAATTTTCTTTCCTTTTTTTTTTTCTTTTGAGACAGAGTCATGTTCTGTCACCCAGGCTGGAGTGCAGTGGTGCCATCTCAGCTCACTGCAACCTCCGCCTCGGGTTCAAGCGATTCTTCTGCCTCAGCTTCCCCAATAGCTGGGATTACAGGCACCTGCCACCATGGCTGGCTAATTTTTTGTATTTTTAGTAGAAATGGGGTTTCACCATGTTGGCCAGGCTGGTCTCAAACTCCTGACCTCAGGTGATCCCCCACCTCGGCCTCCTAAAGTGCTGGGATTACAGGCGTGAGCCACTGCACCTGGCTGCATGCAAATTTTCAGTTACTCTTGAAGTGACATTATAGGTTTCTGAAATGACAAGTTAATGAACAGTAGTCGGTATTAAGAAGGCAACTTGCCTCCCAGCACCAGGTTTGTTGATTCAACGTGTGAAATCCAACCAAGCTTAATTTCGATATAGGAGTTAAGAAGAAGTTATTCAGGCAGATATGAGGGTATGGGAGTCCTTGGTAAGGTTTCCCTTTTCATGAAAATCACCCCCAAATAATTTTCTTTTCTAGCACAGAGCAGCCTGTAAAATCGAGCTGCAGACACAGACAAGCAAGCTGGAAGCTTGCACGGGTGAATGCCGGCTGCTGTGCCAATAGGAAAAGGCCACCTGGGACTAGGCGTGGTCAAAATGGTGGCTCCATCTTCCCTTCTCTTTGTCAGCTGTGTGTACAGTGAGGAGCAGGCAACATGGCACCAGCCAACTGGAAAGCCTATTTGCATAATAAGATTAGGGTGGGGTGACCAGCCTTTTCTGGGCACTATGTAAATATCACCCCCAGTCCAACCAATCTGTGAGCCCTATGTAAATCAGACACCGCCTCCTAAAGCCTGTCTATAAAACCCAGTGCACTCTGTCACGGGCCGGAATTCCCATTGAGGAGCCCCTCTGTCTCAAAAGAGAGAGAGCTGCTCTCCTTTCTTTTATCTATTAAACCTCCGCTCCTAAACTCACTCCTTGTGTGTGTCTATGTCCTTAATCTTCTTGGCGCGAGATGATGAACCTTGGGTATTTACCCCAGACAACAACACTGCTTCGTTTTCACTTCCTATCATGGCCATTTGCTACATACACATCTTAGTTCTTGGAGGCCCAACCTTTCTCCTATGTAGAAAATTTTCTTTACCATGTCTACCTATAAGCTCCCGCAAATCCAAGATCTTCCCTTTAGTCTTTTCTTACCTTCAACACCTTAGATAAAATGAAATTTTCCTTCATCTGTGGCACCATAGTCCTTTAGCTATTATAATCTATTGTACCACTTTGTAACAGGGTGTCTGGCCTGGGCTGCAAGTCCTATTCAAATGAGTCTCGACGGTAGGACTGAAAACTCCCTCTGTAATCATGGACACTTTCACGGGTCTGTTTGCACCCACTGGTTTTGATGGGGGTTAAGGAATCTAGGTGGTGATAGGTAGAGGACTCTAATAGTGGCCAGGAATGAGGTTCAGACGATATAGCTAAGCCTGATCTGAGGACCTACGAGACCCCCATGAAGAAAAGCTGCCTCAAAGAAGGAGTCTGGCTCTGTCACATTCAGCCACAAGGTCTATAAGTGCGAGGGGAAGTGGTGGTTTGCAGGGGAGTAGAATGGCCGTTATCTGAAATCACTGAAGCCCAGCCAATCTGTTGGTATATATACACTCTAAGGGCTAAAAGGCTGTTGTTTCCAAGCAAAAACTGCTATTCTAGTGCTCTGTTTGAGACCTCTTTAGAAAACTAGAACTCAGTGGCAGGAAGCCAGTATTCCCACTAGCAAAAGAAAGGAAGTCAATCTAAAGCACCAGCAGCACATCCACCAATACCCCAGACACAAGCAACAGCAGCACCAACAGCATTTAGAGCAGAGCCGAGCAGAAGTGGTAGAAAACAGCATGCGCCGAGGGGTTTGCACATGAGAGTAAGAAACTGAGTGTAAAGCAGATGCAGCAGGGTCGCCAGCAGTCTAGACCAACAAATAAGGGCACAGGAGACCCACTGTGGGTCTGGTCTAAAATGGGAGCAGCAGGTGGGCACGGTGGCTCACACCTGTCAACCTAGTGCTTTGGGAAGCTGTGGCAAGCAGATCACTTGAGGTCAGGAGTTAGAGACCAGCCTGGCCAACAGGGTGAAAACACATCTCTACTAAAAATACAAAAATTAGCCAGGCATGGTGGTGCCCTCCTGTATTCCCAACTACTTGGGAGGCTGAGGCAGGAGGATCACTTGAGCCCAGGAGGCAAAGGCTGCAGTGAGCTGAGATTGTACCACTGCACTCTAGCCTGGGCACCAAAGCGAGACTCCGTCTCAAAAAATTAATTAATTAATTAATTAATTAAATGGGAGCAGGAAGAAGACAGTGAAGAAGAGGAGATAGAAGTCCTCTTCTTCCACAGGCTATTCTTTGTATTGTTATTATTTGTGCACGTGACTGGGGATTGGCATTCCTAGGTACCACGTACATCTGTGAGATTGCCGTGCTGCAGAGATCCACACGTCAGAAAAATGCTCCCATACGCGGCGCAACCTCCATGAAACGCAGCGGTTAGAAGCTGCTGCATGATAATTACTTGATACTGAGAAATTTCCACTGGTAATAGGAGGTTCGTAAAAAGGATTCCTTGGTCCAGTGAAGACTGTTTTAAGCATAAGCATATTTCTTCTGCAGAATAACTTTCATTTAAAATTTTTGAAAAGGAAAAGCTACACAAAGATAAAAGTTTTGTAGCTTGGAATGAAGATGGTTAGGATGCTGTAAGAGTGTCCATAAATCCATGCATTGTAGATGATGTTAGTTTCATCTAATGTAAAGTCCAAACTGCTACCAGCTAACAGACATGGATGCATTTCAGACTATCTGGAAAGAGCAAAGAACATATTCACTTTTCCCACATTCCTAAAGGGAGTCAAATTATTCTAGATCTTGTTCGTCCCCCACCTCTAGTCAATTTGTTTAATTTGCAAGTACCACCTGTAGTGAAACCATATTTATGGTATACTTGCTTAGGTTCAGAATTATGTATTTAAGATTTACACGTTAATGTATTTATATATTAATTCATGTTCCAAGGAATAAGTGATAAAACCTCATGGATTCAAAAATTACATAATTTATATCATTAATCTCATGTTGAAATCAGTGTAGGAGACTATTTGGGTTCGAGGTTTGCATAAAAATTAAAAGTATGTGTCATTCATATTTACAAAGGCATTTCAAGTGACTGCTAGTTTTTTTAAGTGTGAATTTATTAAATGGCTGAACTATCAAATCAGACACTAATCTTCCTAAATTTGGATGGAGAACAGCTCAAGAAGAAGGCTCTTCAAGTGAGAAGCAGTTGTACAAAATGTTCTAGAGTCTTCTCCCCCAGATCTACTTCTTCTTTGTCTTATTTCAGTTCTCAGTGTCATTGTTGAAGTTATGGATACAAGGAAAATTCCCCTTTAAAAATCCAACTAATGGCTGGCCACGGTGGTTCACACCTGTAACTCCAGCACTTTGGGAGGCCAAGGTGGGTGGATCACCTGAGGTCAGGAGTTCGAGACCAGCCTGGCCAACATGATGAAACCCCATCTCTACTAAAAATACAAAAATTAGCCACACATGGTGGTGCATGCCTGCAATCCCAGCTACTCGGGAGGCTGAGGCAGGAGAATTGCTTAAACCCAGGAGGCAGAGGTTGCAGTGAGCAGAGATCACGCCACTGCATTACAGAGCAAGACTCCATCTCAAAAAAAAATAAAAATAAAAATAAAAAATTCATCACTAACAAAAATAAAATGTCATTAACTTATTCCCGAAAAGATACATGTGTCTTTCTTTTTTAAAAAGACCTTTAAACTTGCACAGGAAATTTATATTAATATAGAAAATACAGAGTCATCAGAAACCATCCAATTTAAAGCTGGGTGCAGGTGTGCACACCTAGAATCCCAGCTACTCAGGAGGCTGATGCAGGAGGATCTCCTGAGCTCAAGAACTCTAGATCAGCCTAGGCAACACAGCGAGACTCCAGCTCAAATTTAAAAAAAAAAAAAAAAAAAAAAAAAAAATCAAATTTAAAAATAGATTTCTAAGGAATCTAGAGATGTAGCAAAGGATTTGGAGATTCCCAGCTCTCCTGAGTTTAAGACAAATACTCCTAACTCTGGAGGGCAGATGTGACTTGGGTGGGCTTTCCGCTCAACAGATGGCCCCAACTGCCATCGTATCAACCTACATGTCACCTGTGTTGTGTTAGACATAACAGACCGTCATCTCCCTCCCAAGGATGAAGTAGAAAGTGACAGGCTCAGATTCTGCAATTTCCTAGTGGCCTCCACCTCAGTTTTGCTTTCCATCTGAGCAGCAAGAGTGACTGGAAGGTATTAACTATTTGATAATTTTTAATTTATCAGTACTACCAAAATGCAGATAGGAAACAAAAGCAGCTATCTAGCTATCAAGGTAGGTTTAAAAATAATTATGTTTAGATATCTGCGTTTACAGTCTTCTATCAGTAATGTTAGCCCTAAGAAAAGGTATCCTTAAACATGTTGTCACATAACAGAGTGGCAGAAAGGTGAAAGACATATCAAACTTTAAAAAATATTCATATTTAAAAGAACACTTACTCTTTTGACTCCCTCTAAGAGGATATATCCTGAGTTTTTCAATAATATCAACCACGATCAGGGATAACAGAACCAGAGACACGGGTAGGTCAGGTAATATATCAGGTAAGACATCAGAGGACCCATTAATGCTCTTTGGAACCTGTTTAGAGAACACCATTCAGAAGCATTAAATTATTGTGCTTTCTTTGCTCAAAATGCTTTTAATAGTCTGAATGCAGCACTAAATTAATTATAATTATATTTACTAAAAAACTAGAAGGTTGGTTTTTAACTTGTCAGATTTTAAACTCCACAAGGTATTGAACCATTTCTAAAGCAATCATAAAGATTCATATCAATGGAAGCCTATTTTCAGTTAAAGACAGACCTTGGTAAATGCATGTAAAATACAGTAGTGGGCTCCCTGTAATATTGAAGGGGTAACTCCTTCCAACTCTACTGCTGAGCAGAGTTTCTAAGAATCCAGTCTCAAAGAGCTAAGGGAACAAATAACAACATTTAGAATCTTCCAAGAAGACAGAACTCAGATAATTCCGGCTAGACTTTGGGATACTTCCTTTGCCTGCTTAAAGTGTTTGCAAAAAGCTATGGCAAGACCAGGTGTGGTGGCTCACACCTATAATGCCAGCACTTTGGGAGGCCAAGGTGGGAGGATTGCTTGAGCCCAGGAGCTCGAGACCAACCTGAGCAACAAGGCCCATGTCTATGAAAAATTTAAAAATTAGCTGGGTGTGCTGGCACACACCTTTGGTTTGAGCTACTCGAGAGGCTGAGGTGGGAGGATCACTTGAGCCCAGGAGGTTGAGACTGCAGTGAGTCGTGATTGTGACACTGGACTCTAGCTTGGGTGACAGAGCAAGATCCTGCTCCACCAAAAAATAGAAAGAAAAACAAACCACAATAACAAAAAACTATGGAAAGCATTGTATTAATGATGAAATATTGAAAGTTTTCCCTCTGAAATCAGGAATAAGACAAAGATGCCACCATGGCCATTTCTGCTCAACATTGTCCTGGAGGTCTTAGCCAGAGTAATGGGCCAGAGAAAGAAATAAACAGCATAGGCTGGGTGCTGTGGCTCACACCTGTAATCCCGACACTTTTGGGAGACGAGGCGGGTAAATTACCTGAGGTCAGGAGTTCGAGAACAGCCTGGCCAACTTGGCGAAACCCCGTCTCTACTAAAAATACAAAAAAATTAGCCAGGCATGGTAGCACATGCCAGTAGTCCCAGCTACTCAGGACACTGAGGCAGGAGAATCGCTTGAACCCAGGAGGCAGAGGTTGCAGTGAGCCGAGATCACACCATTGCACTCTAGCCTGGGTAACAGAGTGAGACTCCATCTCAAAAAAAAAAAAAAAGAAAGAAAGAAATTAACAGTGTAAATATTGGAAAGAAGAAAAACAAAATGTCATTATTCATAGACTATTTGATTGTACACAGAGAAAATCTCCCCCAAATGGATAAATTATTTCTAAATACCAAAGACACAAGAGTTCAAATATATGAGTTTTTTTTTTTTAAATGATACTATTCAATGCCACTTCAATCAATATTGCAACTTTTTGTGGAAAAAGACAGGCTGATACTAAAATTTATATGGAAATAAAAAAGGTAGGAAATCCTAGAAGAAAAAGAACCAGCTAGGAAGATTTACTCTTCTGGATATAAAGAACTAGTAGAAAGCTGCAAGAACTAAGACAGTGTAGTGTTGGCATAGGAATTATGTATATCTGCACTTGATTTATAACAAAGGTGGCACAGCAGACAAATGTGGGCAGGATGGACCTTTTAGTAAATGGTGCTTGGTTCATTGAATGTTATATGGTGAAACAAATTAACTCACTGCTGCACAACATACACAAAAATCAATTCCAGACGTATTGTGAATCTCAAAAAGAATGAAGAAACAATACAGCCTTCAAAATATAATTAGAAGGCTGGACACAGTGACTCACACCTGTAATCCCAGCACTTTGGGAGTCCAAGGCGGGCGAATCACTTGAGGTCAGGAGTTCGAGACCAGCCTGGCCAACATGGTGAAACCCTATCTCTATGAAAAATACAAAAATTAGCCGGGTGTGGTGGCACACACCTGTAATCCCAGCTACTTGGGAGGCTGACAGGGGAGAATCACTTGAACCCAGGAGTTGGAGGTTGCAGTGAATAGAGATTGCACCACTGCACTCCAACCTGGGTAATAGGGCAATACTCCATCTCAAAAAAATAAAATAAAAGAAATAAATTATATGTATGTGTGTGTATATATATTTTATATATATATAAAAAATATATATATAATATATATTATATACATATAAAAAAATTAGGGAAAGATGTTAAGACTTTGAAGTTCAGATTCACAATGACAAAATCTTCTGCAAGTGACCCAAGCACTATCCATAAAGGAAAGAAATAGATAAACCGCACTATTTTTAAGTTAAGAACTTCTTTTCATGAAAAAGATATAAAAGTGTGAACACAAGTTGCAGAGAGGAAAGATATTTGCAATACATATAATCAAAAAGGGCTTGTTTAATCTGAATATGAAAATGAGTCTTCCAAATAGATTTTTAAAAGATAAGCAACACAATAAAAAATGGGCAAGATGAAAAGATGCTCAACCTCATTAATTACGGGAGAAATGTAATTTAAAAGTACAATGCGATTCAGGATCGTACCCACCAGAAGAGCTGAAATAAAAAGACACGATGATGCCGGGAGTGGTGGCTCACACCTGTAATCTCAGCATTTTGGGAGGCCGAGGTAGATGGATCACGTGAGGTCAGGAGTTCGAGACCAGCCTGGCCAATATGGTGAAATCCCATCTGTACTACAAATACAAAAATTAGCCAGGCGTGGTTGTGGGCATCTGTAATCCCAGCTGCTGAGGAGGCTGAAGCAGGAGAATCGCCTGGATCTGGGAGGCGGAGGTTGCAGTGAGCCAAGATCACCTGTGCCACCACACTCCAGCCTGGGCAACAGAGCAAGACTCTGGCTCCAAAAAAATAAAACACAACGCAAGTGTTGGTGAATGCTCCTTCTCTGCTGGTGGGTTCTATAGAGATGCTATAGAAATCAGCACAATCTGTGTGGAAAGCTGTTTGACCTTATCTCTCACAATGTAACATTTCAGTATCTCATGATTCATCAATTCTGCTCCTGCATATGTAACCAACAAAAATGCTTGCATGGGCACACCAAAAGACATATTCACAGATGTTCACAGCCTCATTATTTGTAATTGCCAAAACTGGAAACAACCAAGATGGCGACCAAGAGTAGAACACAGAAGTAAATTATGACCTTTTCATAAAATGAAATACTCTACAGCTGAAAACGAATGAGCTTCAGGTATTCACAGAAACACAAATGACCCTTACAACCATATCTTAAATAAAAGAAGCCAGACATCATTTGATTTTTCCTTGGAAAAATTTCAAAAGCAGGCAAACTAGCCTGCAGTATCAGAAGTCAAGTTAGAAGTGACTTCTGGAAAGGAGGGAAAGGGAGTCATTGAAAGGATCATAAAAAAAGAATGAGCAAGCAATGGGTTGCTGATACAAAACTAAAATAAAATACTAAATGCAAATAAAGGAGCGTGGGCATGGAGCTGGCCAAAGTTTCCTTCTTGACTTTGACCTGAGCGATGCTTACCCAGGGGTTGTTTTGTGGTATTCCATTGTTACTGTACTTTTTTCTTTCGTGCACTTTTCTGTTTATGTGTTATACTTCGGTGAAAATTAAATAAGAAAAAAAAGGAAAGGAAAGAAAAAGATGTAACAATGGATGAGACATCGTAAAAAAGAACCAAAAAGGGCTATCGAGCTCCAGATATGCCATCAGTTTACCGCAGTGATGTTTCTTAAAAGGTTGTAAACTAAATTTTTAGTTTTTGGGAACCTTCCAAATGATTTACAAGGTCTTTGGGAGGGGAAAAGACAGATCTACATTGAAATATTCGTCTGTTTGCATCCAGTTCACTGGATGCAAAGCACATCTGTGTGACCTCCCAAAATTATTCTGTGCATTCATACATCATTGTCCTAATGTAGCATCTATGATGTATTCTAGCAGCACCTGTGATGCGTTCTGACAACCATGTAATTTCTAATGTCATACATTACTTGGTACTGCCCTGTCTCACAACACTTGTGATACTTGTTCTAATTGCCTGTTTATATTTCTAATGTCAGAAAATTCTACCAGAGACCCTGCCATATTTCCTGAGTCCCCTATGCCCTGTACTTAACAGTGCTGGGCCTGTAATATACACTTAATGAATACTTGCTTCACATAAAAGTGAAGTATCACAAGGTAAATTAAGTCATTTAAGTAAATTAAGTATGCTTTGGGAAAACAAAAGTTATCTTTCACAGCACCTTGCAAATCAATAGGATTAGTGGGGTATTCTTCTCTGACCTTCTTGGATAATGAAGTACTTATAGCCTGAAAGTTCTGCCTAAGATATTCCTGCCCTGCAGGTATCTATCCAAGACCTACTGAAGCTATATTTAGTCAAAACATAAACTCATCATTATTTTCAAATAAATAACACATGCAAATTATTATCAATGGACATCTTATCAAAGGTATTAAAACCTAAGCGGTCCTTCCCTTAGATCCTGTTGTATTCATTTAGAATTGAGGACAATCATGAAAAACATCAGGTTGGCAGAAGAAACAAATACAGATCAACTTTCACATTTTTCACTTTTTAAATGTTCAAATATCATCTCTGTCTCTCACACACAAACACAAAATTAATTTTTACAAATTGGCTATTAGACTTTCCTTCACAATCACAGAGGTAACAATGATCTTAGTACTTTAAATACCGTATGTTGTAACCTGGAAGACGACTGGATTACATAAATGTCAAGAACTTTGTTGAGCACACTGCTTTATCAAATTCCAATAACAAGAAATTATAAAATCTCATAATCTTGTAGCAGAAGAAATCAAAATTCCATACCTCAGTCACTGCTATGGAAAAGGTGAGGCAGGGCAGTGTGGTAAGGACCACACACATCATCAGAACAGGTCTCCTAGCAAAGGAGAAAAAATAAGCCAAAGCAATCATGGACAAGATCGACAGTTCCTCTTACATTCTGCTAATTTTGCAGTTCCTGTTCCATTCATCTATAGTTTTTCTAAGAAGCTGCTGCTTCCCTATTTCCATTTCCCAAATGTTTGCGTATGGCAAAGAGGAACCCGTGCAGAAACCAGAATGCTTCTTCTAGAACAAAGGGGTGAGAGATTTCCAAATAATTAGCAAACCACAAACTATTAAAAGCATCAAATCACAAGTCAAATGACATTCAGCACGTTCATAATTCATTAATTAAAATCCTGCCCAAGACGTGAGGCCGTAGTGACCAACTGAATAAATGAACAGCATGACTTTCAAGTTATATTATATCCCATGTTGTAAAATTTATTTTTTAAAAGTACATTTAGAGATGATAAATTATTGGATATTTAAAGATCACTTAAAAACATTTAAATTTTTTTACTAGAACCAAAAAAACTGTACATACATAAAAATGACATAATTTTTCAAACTTGTTTTTGGACCACTTCTTAAACCTTGCATGATCAACCAATCCAATAGCTATTGAGATATAATACATAGAAAATAGTATATCTTATGACACAGAAAATTTAAATGTGGTCGGGCATGGTGACTCACTCCTGTAATCCCAGCACTTTGGAAGGCCGAGGTGGGTGAATCATGAGGTCAGGAGATCGAGACCAACCTGGCTAACACGGTGAAACCTCATCTCTACTAAAAATACAAAATATAAGCCAGGCGTAGTGGCAGGCGCCTGTAGTCCCAGCTACTTGGGAGGCTGAGGCAGGAGAATGGTGTGAACCCGGGAGTTGGAGCTTGCAGTGAGCCAAGATCGCATCACTGCACTCCAGCCTGGGCCAAAGAGTGAGACTCTATCTCAAAAAAATAAATACATTAAATAAATAAATAAAATAGAAAATTTAAACGTATGTTTAGCATTCTTAATTTATGGGACAACAAAGGATACTTATTCAAAGGTTTTCTACAATGAAATATTTACCTTCTCTTTGATTCGTTAATATGTATTATGTTAATTCCATTTATATAATGTTTTCTACGTACAAGCAGTGTTGAATGCTTTCAAATTATTAATTTCTCCACGTTCATAAAAAGAACGAAATCATGTCCTTTGCAGCAACATGGCTGTAGCTGGAGGCCACTATCCTAGATGAATTAACACAGGAACAGAAAACCAAATACTGTATGTTCTCACTTATAAGTGGGAGCCAAACGTTGGGTACTCGTGGACCTAAAGACGGGAATAGACACTGGGGACCATTACAGAGGGGAGAGTGGAAAGGGGGCAAGGGTTGAAAAATTACCTATTGGGTACTATTCTCACTACCTGGGTGGCGGGATCAGTCACACCCCAGACCACAGCATCATGCAACATACTGGTGTAACAAACGTGCACACGTACCCCCGAATCTAAAATACAAGTTGAAATTATAAAGAATAAAATAACAGAGAACAATTTCTCCTTGGTGCTGTCTTGCCTCCCCCATCCCAGCGCCATCTTAGACGTCCTAGGTGTAAATATAAATTAGAAGATGAGATTACCCCTCTCTCATGGCCAGACCTAGTACAGCCTGGCTAAGACTAGTCTGATGGAATTTTCAACTGGTAGCTTTCTCTGTTTGTCTGAGCTGAGATCCAAGTTCCTACAACACTAAATTCTCTAAGTAAGATTGGACAAGTCACTCATAAAGATCTCTTCTTCTCAACTTGACCTCTAAACGATGACAATGCCCCAGAGACTATTCCCAGGCCTGTTCTTTGTCTGTAATATCTTCCTGGATTATCTCATCCTGGCTTCAAATGCCACTTCTTTGCCCAGGACTGCACAATATATTCTGGTGTTTTTCCTGAACCCTGACTTGTCTACCCAATTGTTAGACACTTCCACTTGGCAAAGACACAAAGACACAACTCAGACTTACCACGTCCAAAACAGAACCCAAGTCCTCCTCCATACTTGTTCTAGTCCATCATTTAATCCTGTCTGATTTACTGCCAAAGTCCATTTCAAACTCCTTTTCTGCCAACACCGTAGTTCATCCACTGTCACCTCTCATCTGCCATATTTCCTAACTGGTTTCCTGTTGGTGGTTCTATTCTTGCATAGCAAAAACATTGTCTTCATGTTTTTTTAATGAAATCATGCTTTTAAAATGTAGAACCCATCTTGTCAATGCTCTAACATTGGGGAAAGGAAGGAGGTTATTAGTTAATGGGTATAAAGCTTCAGCTTTGCAAGATGAAAAGAGTTTCATGGGTGGATGGTGGCAATAGTCACACAACATTGTGAATGTACTTAATGCCACTGAACCGTACCCTTAAAATGATTAAGATAGTAAATTTTACATTATGTTTTTTATCACAATTTTTAAAAATCTTTGATGAACACACAATGTGATTGGAATCAAATTGAATCTTATTACCCTGGTCTACATGCTGTACATGATGTGGTTTCTCTTATTGCTCCGACTCTCATATATAGTATAGGAAACACACACAGGCGCGTGCACACACACACACACACGAGTTGTATACATAGCCCTTATGACTACCTAGAAATCTGCTGATTCTTTGTTTATTGTTTGTCATCTTCCTCTTTCCTCATCCCCCGAGGTAAGTTCTGTGGAAGCAGGGACCTTATCTGACTTGTTTGCTACTTTATTTCCAGCATCTAGAATAATGTTTCTGAATCATTTTTGTGCGATGAAATTTCTGAGAGTCTAGTGAATCCTATGAACCCTTCTCAGGACAACATTTTTAAATGAGTAAAATAAAATATACAGATTTTTAGAAGATAAATCAATTATATTGAAATTATTCAAATTTTAAAAATTACCTAAAGGCTTTCATTAAAAATTGTATACAGTTTATGGTTCTTTTTTAAAGAATTATGTAGTAATCCAGATTCTTCTTAAAGTTTAAACTTGGATGAGAAACAATTTACATCATTTCTTTCATTAACCTCATAACAATATATGTGTCTATCTATGAACATGTCTTTTTAAATTTTCTTTGGAGCAGGCCAGGCCTGGTGGCTCATGTCTGTAATTCTAGTACTTTGGGAGGCCAAGGTGGGTGGATCACTTGAGCCCAGGAGTTCGAGACCAGCCTGGGCAACACAGCAAATCCTCATCTCTATAAAAAAATATATAAAAATTAGCCAAGTGTGGTAGTGTGTATCTGTAGTCACAGCTACTTTGTAGGCTGAGGCAGGAGAATCTCTTGAACCCTGGGAGTCAGAGGTTGCAGCAAGTCAAGATCGCACCACTGCACTCCAGCCTGGATGACAGAGCCAGACTCTGTCTCAAAAAAACACTCCAGCCTGGATGACAGAGCCAGACTGTGTCAAAAAAAAAAAAAAAAAAAAAAAAAAAAAAAAGAGGGAGTACTTAAGATCTAGTAAAAATTGTAATCACTCATAATTTCAAGATAGTGAAGATCATAAACCATATACTGAAGTCTCTCCTACAACTGTTGTATCATATGAAAAGATCTGTGATATATGGTCTGAAAAGCTCTATGTAATAAAGTTACAAGTCCTACAAATACTACTGTGGTTTGTTACCAACATCCACATCAGAAAAGATTGGTAGCTTTCAATTAGAGGTTAATGAAAGAAATAATGTAAATTGTTTCTCATCCAAGTTCAAGAACTTCATGATGCTAGAGAATGTCCAACACATAGTAGGAATTCAATAAATACTAAATGAATGGACTCATTAGTAATTAAATAACCACCCAAGTTTATGTTTTATTTAACCAGAAGTTACATTAACCTGTGTTTGAAAATCTTGACTAGGATATGCTTATACATATATATATACACACACATATATATACACACACACACTTTTTTTTTTTTTTTTTTTTTGAGATGGAGTCTTGCTGTGCCACCCAGGCTGGAGTGCAATGGCTGATCTCAGCTCACTGCACCCTCTGCCTCTCAGGTTCAAGTGATTCCCCTGCCTAAGCCTCCTGAGTAGCTGGGATTACAGGTGCATGTCACCACATCCAGCTAATTTTTGTATTTTTAGTAGAGGCGGGGTCTCACCATGTTGGTCAGGCTGGCCTCAAACTCCTGATCTCGTGATCCACCCGCCTCAGCCTCCCAAAGTGCTGGGATTACAGGCATGAGCCACCATGCCCGGCTGGATATGCTTATAATTTATTGAGTATTATGGATCAAATGGTGTCTCCTCAAAAAGATATGTTGAAATCCCAAACCCCAGCACTTCAGAATGTGATCTTATTTGGAAATAAGATCTTTGCGAAGATAATCAAGTTAAATAAGATCATTAAGGTGGGTCCTAATCCAATATGACTGGTGTTCTTATAAAAATGGGGAAATTTGGTGACAGAGTTGCACAGAGGGAAGACTATGTGAAGAAACCCATGATGTATACCATGTGATGGTGAAGGCAGAAATCAGAGTGATGCATTTACAAGCCAAGGAGCATCAAAGATTGCCAAAACCACACCAGAAGCAAGGAGAGAGACATGGAACAAATTCTTTCTCATATCCCTCAGAAGGAAGCAATCCTACCAATATCTTGATCTCAGTGTTTTCACCTCTGGAAGTTTGAGGCATAAATTTCTGTTGTTCAAGCCATCCAGTTGGTGGTACTTTGTTACGGCATTTCTAGGAAACTTACACTAATGTTGTGACTGGAATGTGGAATGCTGCTGTAACAAACACCTAAAGATGTAGAAGTGGCTTTGGAATTGAGTAATGAATAGAGACTGGGAGAGTTGTGAGATGCATGATAGAAAAAGCCTAGATTGCCTTGAAGAGACTGTTGGTAGAAACACAGGTGTTAAAGGACATTCTAGTGAGGGCTCAGAAAGAAAAAAGGAGGGATATAGAGAAAACTTTTAGCATCTTAGAGAGTAGATATATTGTCATGAACAGAGTATTGTTAGAAATATGAATGCTAAGGTACTTCTGGTGAGGTTTAA